GTTTCTTTCGCAATGTATATCTATCAATATACTAATAAATAAAGAAATGATGTTTACCTACCAGAAAAAAAAAAAAAAAAATTATAATATAATACTGTTAACACTTCATCTTTTATTAGTATCAAGTGAAATTCAAACAAACTATTAAGCATATTCAATTCAATCAGATTAGAAAAAAATCATATTGTCTCCATAAGAAGCTTATACCTTAATATTACTTAGAACAAAATTATTATTGATCTATTTATAATAATTATTAACTCTTTTATTCAATATAATTATAATTTTTCCAAATACATTTAAAATTTAATATTATTATTTTCAAATATTATTTCTTTTAATACTGAGTATATATTCATAAATGCTCAGTACTATATAATAAGATATATTGTTTTAAAAAATTTTTTCAATATTAGTTATATGGTTATTGTAGGTAAGCTAGCATTTAACTTATTGTACTAACATATAAGAAATATTATTTCTTTTACAATATATACTTTGTCATATACAAACAAAATAAAGAATCTTAAATATAAATCAATTCAAATAAAAAATTATATAATAAAAAAAAATTCAAAAAATATTTAATATAATATTTTATAAGAAATATAAGAAATACATATATGAATTAAATAAAATATACTCTTGACAAGATCTAGCTGATTGAATTAAAAAATATAATATTTTAAGATATTTTTTTGTTACACGTGATTAATCTAAATTTAAAATGTAATAACTAGCTCTAATAAAAAACTGCACACATAATTATTATTAAATTATAATATAATATATTAATATTTATTAAATTTTTACTACAAATAGAATATATATTTAAAAGTATAATTCAATAAAAATTTCAACTTTAATTAAACCTTTTCAAAGCATGGTTTTGCTATGTACCAAGCCATACATACTTTGATTTGTCAAATATTTATTTAAATTTATTTTTGTATGAAACAAGAAACTAATACTACTCCAAAAATTAGAGACAATGAAATTTTTATCATTAGATATAATAAAAATGGCGCTCGGGAAGTTCTTTCTTTTGGGAATTATGCAACTTTACTTGTCACTACATACATATTATTGATTTATCAATAATTTGAAATGTACCTGAAATGCAGGAGTTTCATGTTTTACACGTACAAAAATACAAAAATAAACATTACGGCAAAATTTATGTCAACAAAAGCACGCTATCTTAAATATTTGACCAATTGATCAAAAGAACATGCTAATTTCTTGCTTTAATCATTGCATTGTAAGATGCTTATTATTTTCTTCAAATAATGATGATTTTGATTAATGAATATCTAAATAGCTTGTTTTTTTTTGTTCAATCTGTGTATCGCCTAAGCTATTTGAGGAATGAAATGGTTCTATAACGGTTTTTTTTTTTTTTTCGAGTGGCTGTGTGTCATCTGGTTTGAGAGGATTTTAGAGATTTGCGATTTGTGTTGTCATCAGTGTGACACAAAGATGTGTCGAGATTTTACGTAATGGAAAATGAATTTAAAAAAGATAAGATTGGGCAAAATTGTGGTAAAGTGTCGTCCCTGATTGTTCTATACACGCGAGAATGCATATCCAATATAAATGGTATTTTAAACATGCAACGCAAGTGAGTTCCCCTGGGCAAGGACAAGGATAACTAGGAAAGAAAATTTTACCACAATTGTCTTCCTATTTATAATTGAACCCTGATTTTTTAATTTACACATCATTCTTATACTATATAGTTTGTTTATTCTACACTTACTATTTATGTGTTAACAGGTTGTAATCTACAATAGGTGATAGACCTTTGGGCATTATACCATATTAAAATATAGTACTAAAACGTTACCAACCCATACTCTTTCTTTTCTTTTTGTTTGTGTGCTTCGTTTGGGAAGCAGCAACCAAAGAAAAAAAAAAAGAACAAAATTTTCCTATATCTTACATTTTCATATATCAATTTCTATAGTTTAGAAACGTTTTTTCCCTATTCATAAGAATTATCGGTAAGCACGTTCCTTTAAATTATGTCGCGTTTTTTCTTTCATCTATAAACGCTTGTTTGGTTATTTACCAACTTCTCTCTTTTCCATCCAACTTAGACCAAAAACAATAACATGGCTGCCGTTGTTCAAGCTGCGATGGGTAACTCGGTTGGAGTAGTGGAAGAAACCGAGGTGGTCGAATATACGGAGGTTGTCGAAGAAGTTGTTTTGCATCACATTGAAAATGCCGAACACTTGGACACAGTCCAAGAGGCAGATGAACTTGCTGTTGAGGAGGAAAACGCGGAAGAGGTTTCGGAGCACACCGAAAAAGTTGAGGTTAGTTCATCCACCGACGAAACTGTTGAAAGCATCAAAGAAGATGCGGAAAAACATACAGAGAACACGCTGTTGACTTCAGAACAAACAATTGTTGAACAAGCTGAAGAAAGTAATGAAACTCAACATGAGAATATGTCCGTGTCAGATGAATCAATTACAGCAGAGACAAAAGACGAATCAAATGAATTGGATCATACATCCGAGCCTTTGACCCCTCCAAAAAGCCCGACTGACGAAAAGGAGAAGGATAAATTGGGTAAAAAGGATTTGACTACCACAGTAAAGACGTCGAAAACTACTACGAATGCTAAAGTCGGTACGGCTAAAAAGTCGGCTGTGCCTACTCCAACTCCTACAAATGGTACCCAAACACGTGCTCGTCGGTCATCGATCACTAATAAGACGAATTCTCTCACACTTTCCAAACAACCGGGGACACGCTCTTCCAGTACTTCTAGCACTACCAGAGCGCCGGCTCCTGTGAAACAACCTACTAGTCCCACTGTCCAGAAGACGCCAAATGTTTCAAATAAAACAACATCTAACGTAAAGGGTTCCGCACAAAAAACTCTCAAGTCCACTTCTACAGTGGTCACTTCCACAAAAACAAATAATGCAACAACAAAGGCAACTGCCACAACTCCGAAACAATCCTCAGTGCCTTCGGCAAGGAAGTCCTCTGCAAACTCCACAGGTTCTATTACCGCCACCGCCGCCGCTACCAATAAAAAATCACCGACTAACCCTGTGTCTTCACAAAAAAGCAAGTCTGCGATCAATTCGTCATCAAACACGACCAAGCATGTTCCAACAAAGAGCACTGGTTCTGCACCAAAATTAAATGGCGCAGGAAAACCTTCGCCTACTGAAGCTAGTTTCAAAGAAAAGGCAAGTCATGAATGCAAATTGGTTTAATGTTACAATTTTTAGTATATATTTCTAATTTCTCTAAAAAAAATAAGCTAGCTGAAATGAATTTATTTTTTATTATTTGAAATAGAATGAAGAGCTTATGCGACAGATTGAAGAAAAGGACAACTTATTGAAATCAAGCCAAGAAGAGTTGGAGGCTCTTAAATCTCAGTTGGAAAGAGGGAGCGATTTGGCCAGCGAAGTTAACCGTCTAGAAGAATTGAGAAAAGAAGAAATCTTGAAGATGCAGATTGACAGAGATGAAGCTATTTTATCAAAGGAATCTGAAATTGAATCACTTAAAAAGGAGATTGGGGCGCTGAAAGAAAAATTAAAGGTATTATCGGACCACTTATGACTACACAATGTTTATTTAATAGTGTGATGAGTTGTTCTATATTGTTTTCTTAACTATAGGCTCTCGAAAAGGCTCACGAAGGAAAGACAGCTATATTCCAAGAAGAACATGCTAAACGTATTGATCAAATTAAAGATGCGCATTCCGCGGAATTAGCTGAAAAAGTAAAAAGCCTAGAAATTGTTAAAGAAGAGATCACAAACTTAAAGGCTGAAATGGATGTTGGTGTTTTTTCCTTATTAAAATTTCTCATTTTTACCGAAGTTATTTATCTCTGTTTTTT